AAAAAAAAAAAAAAAAAAAAAAAAAAAAAGATCTTGTAATTTGAATGCAGTAAAATAAGGAGGCATTGGGAAATTTCATCCGCCGCTGGTTTTAAGCATCTTTTGGAGATATCAAATCATTTTGTCTTTAATAAGTATATATTCAGAAACAATGGATACAAAACTGGACCCTATTTATGTTGAAAAATAATTACAAACTTGCTCGGGAAAAAAAATAAAAATAAAAATTCAGCCAAAATGGTTTGATTTAATAGAATAGCCAAACATGTACTTTCTTCCAATTTAACTGAAAAAAAAAAAAAGAAAGAAAAATCGAACCAACCTGCAAAATCAACTAAAATAAATCTGAATCTCGTATATACGAGTAATGTCATTCGGCAGATACGAAAACCGATTCTATGATGATTCTTATCGAACGAACATAAGAAACTGAACGAACCCAAATGATGCTTGCAACAATCAGCTGAAATGGAAAACACCAATGGGAAGTGCCTGTAATTCTATTCTCCCACTGTCAGTCCAAATCCAAACTTGTAATCCTTCTTCTTGTGATCAATCTGCAAGACATAAATGTCCAACACGTAATGACACGAGCAAAAAAAAAAAAACGTAAAGGATACGAAATGTGGTATTTTAAGCCGTTTTTTCTCACCTCAGCCGAAAGGATAAAGTTGAGGCCCATATTAAAACGCTCCTCCAGGAAAGCAGCCACGACACCGTTAGAATCTATCTTTCCTCTTAAACGACACTGCAAAACGCCAAAAACACTTGGGAGTTAAAAACAAAAAGAAAAGTGCTGTTTTTGCTAAATGCATGCACGAGGAAGATACTTCTTCAAGGTATGCAATATACCTGGCGTAGAATATAATCATATCCAAAGCTAGCTGTGACATCCCTTGACATAGCGTTGTACATGAAGTCTGATGCTAGAGAAACCTAAATATATATTAAAGGACAACCTTTTAGTCGACAAAATCAAACAAAACAATAAAGAAGCATAAGAAAGTTAAGGAAGAAAGAAACAAAACCAGATTTACATAAAATAAAATGAACCAGAAACCAGTTCACCTTTTCAGATACTTTCTGAACGTAGCTTAAAGCAACCATACCAGTACTGGCAATTTGTCCAGCTGCAACCTGTAATAAAAGGCAACCGGTTATTATATCTATCGGAGTTGATTAAATGGATTTGCTTTGACATCAAACTATTAAATGGACGAGGAAAACATTCATCGAATATGTTCTCCCATCCACCATCTTCATAAGCATGTAGAGATGATCTAAAGACTGAACGTCGCACGCACGTGCGCGCACACATATATATAAGCAAAGCAAGATTAGGCATCTGAAATTGTTTAGTAGTTTATTATTTATCAGAAATATCAGAGCAGTATATTTACAAAGAACATGAGAACTAAGCACCTTTGTCAAACAAAGAGATCTTTACAGCAAGTGTAGCTTACAATAACCAAAATAAAATAAATAACATGATATGTTTGAATAGAGGCATTAGTTATCATGCACATCAGAGTCCAATTAACATGTCAGGAGCCGGGGATATAGCTCAATTATATATGGAACACAAAGCACAAGAACACAGTTAATTATTAGTCAATTCGAAGTTCACTGTTCTACTTTATCTCTTCTAACAGCATATTAATAAGCTGGAAGGACTTCATTTTAGATAATTTCATCCATAAACCCTACACAAGCATTTCTCATCAAACGACTCCAAATTATAGATCTACAGTATACACAAAATTTTGAAGGGAGAAAGATATTAAACAAAAATGTTTATTGAACGATTTTCCAAAAAGAAGTACCATCTTGTCAGTGCTGTAACGAGCCGCATAACCAAGGCCAGATTTCCGATGTTGACCAGCCCAGAATATTTCACCACCCAATGACAAACGAGGAGTCACGCTCTGGAAAGTGGAAAGATAAATAAATGCAATCAGTCACTGGTACAGCTGCAAAGAACCATTTTTTGTTTTTCCAAGTTCAAATTCATCAACAGAACAGAAAGCCACCAAAAGGGTAACAAAAGATTCCTTATGGGGTGAATAGTTACTTTACTTCATCAGACAATGAATGACCCATTTGAGGTCAGAAGAGAAGTCAGCAAATAGTAAAAAATATTAGTGACTTACATGGATGAAAGAAAACTAAATGTGAATATTTGGTTAAAAATTTAACCGAACTGAAAATAGACAAAAATTTGCACCGTGATCAAGCTGGTGCATAACTAATTAGCATCAAATAAAAAATCTTGTATGCATCGGAAGTCTTATCTACAACAAGAAACTACATCATCCAAAAAGTAATTGATGGGATTTGCCAATAAATAAAGACCAACAGTGAACATGGAATCAGGCTTGAGCTACGACATGACTCCTAGCAATTGTTGCCAGGTTTGAAAGAGAAATACATCTTCGTTTCTGCCTGGATACCAAATTGTTCAGCACGTTAAATGCATAGCAGAATAGATGGTAAGGTTGGTATGCTCAATCTGAAATTTGAGGAACAGCTGACAAATGTCGATGCACACATTCACGAATATTTTTTCTTCTCGACTTTCATTATCTATGTAGCGTCTTCAATTTCATCTTGTGCACAAAGAAATTAATTGAATACACCACAACGATATATAGTGTTTCACAATCATTGTGATGACTAGTTGCAATCCTATCCCAGAAATATTTGTTCCATTTATGGGAAGACTAGTGCAATATTCTCACTTTTTCCTGAACCACAGCTTATCAGATAGATTAGGAAAACATAATGTATCCCTGTGTTTTCAATGGAACAACATAGATAGTAAGAATCGATAGAAATGTGCCATCTTTAGGATTTTACTTGGTCTGTTTGGTTAATAGCTTCTAAGCTTTTTACATGAAACAAGAACATCTTCAAGTCGATGTGGATTTCCATTATGCTACTATCTATACATTTTTTTTCTACACACATGATCCCATTTAGTTGCTTTGTTCGTCAATTTATTCATCCATAAGCCAGCAAACTTTTTCTCACCGCAGGAAACGCGTCAGTTTTCTGATTTTCTGGGTAAGTCGAACTATTAATCAGCCTAGGAGTAGGAGATGAATGTTGTATACTTAATAATAATTGTAGACTATATACAACAAACAAGGTATTTACTTCCCAAATGATAAGGTTGGAAATTTCATGATTATTACTTGCAATAGTCTTGATGGTTTGAGACTACCCCAACTTGTTTGGGACTAAAAGGCTTTGTTGTTGTTGTTGTTGTAGTCTTGATGGTTTGATTGAGATCATAGTTCTAGTATTATATCATGTTCTTCCTTCATGGTGGATTTCGTTTGGTGCCTCGTTATGCAAGCAATAAACAACAAACAACAAACAAGCCGTTAAAATCCCACTAAGCGGGGTCGGCTATATGGATCGCATATCCACATTTTAAATATAAAATATTTCAATTCTTTTTTATTGTTTTCTTCCAAGTTTTTTTAGGTCTTCCCCTCCCCCTTTTAATTTGCGTTTGTTTCTACCCTTCTCACCGGGGCCTCGAAGTCTCTCCTACGCACATGCCCAAACCATCTTAATCGTGATTCTCTCACTTTCTCCTCTATGGGCGCTGCCCCAACTTTATTCTAATACTTTCATTTCTAATCTTATCTAACCTAGCATGCCCACACATCCATCTCATCCTAGTAGCACTCTCAGACTTGAAAATTATCAATCGGTTGGTCATTAGTCTGCATATAAACATATTTAAGGTTTAACTAAATCAACTTTGTTTGAAATAGAGTATTATATCACTCACCTGGATGTAACTTGCGCCGAGTAAACCTCCATTTCCTAGTTGGAACTGAGTCCTATAGTCTGATCCCTGTAAACATCCATACAACAAGTACATCAATGATCAACCCAATGCTACAGTGACTTCATTCAATTGATGAATGAGATCTCATCAAGAGCAATGTCCAAAAAGTATTAGGTAAAAACATGCATGCACGAATCTTAAGACTACAAAACATAAAAATACCTTATAATCAAAATTGAACATGCCTTGTGACATATGTGGCTCATTTGTAAGCTACAGAAAAAAGAAAAGATGTTACTAAATTCTTAGTTTGAACTAAGAAATACTGCAACAGCTTTTAGATAAGTGTCAATTTTAGAAATTCTATGAAATGAGTGGACACATAGTACTCCTACTTGAGCATTAGCCCTCAGAGCCAGATTCTCAGTCAAATCACACTTCAGTCTCGCGGTTAATCTTCCATCTGTCATCAATCTCCCCATAAGTACTAACTGCCAAAGAATAGATGCTCTTGATGGTGAAATCAATAGTATTGTTATAACTGCGAATAAATAGAGAAAAATGCAGCCACCTTTGGGTCCAAATAGTTAGCACCAAACTCATACTGAGCAGTGGGGATTTTAATTGTTTCCGGTGACTGAGATGGAATCTCTGTCGGCCCCATCATCAAACTGAATATAATAGAAATTCATTTAGCCGAGAGTATAACGAATAGCCCCATCAGAAATATAAAAACAAAATTTAATCACAATACTGAAGTAAAACATTGAATGGAAAGGTCACCTATGGCTCAGAGAAAATTTCTGATTGAGTCCTTTTGTAAAGTCAAATCGCATTCCCTCGAAGAGATCTGGCTTCAGGGACACTGGCAACCATAATCAACAAATCATTATTATGAATATAATAGCTTAGTGCTACTAGCATTATTCACAGTGTCTTCTACCATTACGAAAGTAGTACACTTATTGCAATTGGCAATATATTCACATAATGCTAACATTGTTCACAATATGCCTTAGCATTACCTAAGTCGTACAATAATTGCAATCGACAACATATGCACTTAATGCAAGTAGCATTAATATTTTTCTTGCATTACCAAAGTAGTACATAAATTGCAACTGGCAACATATTCACTTAAGGCGTAGCAGATGGATATAAAATTTTGACCGACTCTGGCATTTTTCTTTTCAAACTGAACTTCTGTCTAATGGTATTGACTATGAAGTAAAACAAATTCTAGAACTATGATGAACATCTAAGGATTAGATACATTGTTACACCAGTGGAATAAGAAAATTTAGCGTCCAACTGTGAGCACAATAGCTGAAGGACCTGTAAACATGAGCTCTAAGAAAACAGGCACACAACGGAAAAAACTGAACACAAGTACCAGCCCAATCTTGGGCATGCTGGGGCTACACTGCTACCTACTTCCGATCAACAAAAAACAGATGCAAAACTCAACAACTGATTCTTCCATAATATATTTACTCCAAGTAGGGTTTACAGTTGAGTCCACCCACAAACACCAAAAAAAATTAACGCTAACAATGATGGATTAAATCATCCTCCAGGATTCAACTACCAAATCGAGAAGGAAACCTCCCACGTAAATAAGAACAACAGTTCATTAAAATGCACAGGAGCCATTCAAATAAAAAAAAAAAATTGAAAGATATCCAAAAAAAAAAA